GAGACAGACTTTCATTTTTTCGTTCCGCCAATTTAAGTGTCGAAGTCTAACTTTGGTATTTAAATGTAGCCCATATTTTTCTTGTATGTGTATTAACTTTTCCACAAAGTCATATCGTATTTCTTCATTGTTCTTATTTTGAAGAACTTTGTATTCAGCAAAACAGTTTCTAACTAACTTAATCATATGACACGCGTCTAATATGACATATACTGGTTTTTTTGTAATAGGATGCGGAAAGAATACTTGTAACTCTTTATCAACTTGTAAATTTGCACCTAATATATTTGCCATAGTAAAATTATATTGTAGACCGTCAAATGTTAATGAAATGATGTCAATACCTGTTTCATGGATACTTTTTAAAACATTTGTAATAATATTTGCACGATCCTTTGCGGTCAACGCATCAATGAAATAATATGCAACTGGTATTTTCCAATGTTCATTAATAGCTACTGCCATGATGACAACTGCTTCCTTAGCTAAGGGTACTTCATCGTTATCTATTTTTGTCCCAAAGTTGATAAAAACTTATGTATTCTTTTCCATTAAAGTGAAGTTGTTTTCTAATAGATATATCATCAATTTGCAAACCGCAAAGAATAGTGCGTTTCTTTTCATTAGCTTCGTGTGCTTTTTTCGTTAAACAATCTAGTGCAGGTTGTGAAATTCCAGGTGATCCGTCAATGGAATAGTACCATTTCCGAATTGTCGAAGGATGTGGTAAAATATTTATAAATATTCTCCGGACAAAGTCATAAGCTTTAGGAGAGTAAAAGTGTAATGTAGTTGCGAAGGTTTTTAATTCTGAAGGAAAAGCATTAAATCTATGCTTGCCTGAAAGTACTTTTTGTACTACTGCTACAAGTGCTGGAGATTCTATCGACTGAAAGAAAATAAGAAATTTTGATACGTACACTGTTGGAAAATTTTTGTAGTTTTGTTAAAAAAGGTCCTTGTTAAAATTTTTGTGTAAATTAATCAACACATACGTGTGTAGATTTAACATATGCTTTCTATGTTAATCGAACTTTACAAATTTAAAATGTAAAATTATTAAAATAATTTAAAAAATATATTAAAGTAACACAATTTAAACAATTTATTTATTAAATGTGTTAAAATTTATAGAAAAAGAGTGTTGATTTTACTTTATAACAGAAGTAAGAATAAAAATTTGCAGAAGAAGAATGTTGATTTTATCTTAAAATCTTAACTTTAACATAAAAATTATGTTAATTGTACACATAATTAACCTCAAATTACAATCAGAATAACATTTTCTTCCTGTTAAAATATTATTTTAATATAGTATCGATGTTACCATTTAATTATAAAACATCCATTATGTTAATCTGACACAAAAATTTGAGTGGACCGTTTTGGACATGTAATTTATGTTATATTTAACACAAATTTTTCCAACAGTGTAATAAATATACGTTGAATTTACAATAATCATGACAAAATACAACTGTCTCTTAAGAGCGTATGTTTGCTATAAGTATATATTGTAATTAACCATCGATCTATAGTATGGACTGCGCGATCCCTACTTTACTCGTATACGAAACACATCCTAAAATATGAGTGAGATAGAGCGCGTGTGCGGCCAATCTCTGTCTTTTTTCGACCAGTATTACAGTGTTGTATAGAATGAAACAGATAATGGCAGCAATGGCCTGCCGTCCTTGCACATTGATACACACTTTCGACTTGCGTCGCGCAGTCCATACTATAGATTGATATATAATTAACGTTGTAACGTAGTAAAATATATACTAATATATATGTATGATTTATAGAGTAACTCCGGTATATCTTAAACACAGGAGGGATATACAAGATATTAAGTTAAACAAAAAATACAAGAGCTATGCACTTGTATTTTGCTGTATTCCGTCATTTAATATCCCTCTATACTTATGTATCATAAAATCATGAAATAACCATTAAACCTTTTACATTCCCTACAGTAATCATTTTACGTGACACAAGATCGCGCTTCTTCATTCCTTCTATTTTTTCTGATATCTGCGGTGTGAAACCCTGCGCGGCGTAAATACCGGAGTTACTCTATTTGAAATTTTTAACTTACTTTTAATGTATTTCTAGCTGTACTTGTTATTAACTTGTTATCTTTTAAAGTCTTCATCAATGAGCGTAAATCCTTCACTGTTTTCTGCAGTTTGCCAACTTTATTTCTTAAATGTTTCACTTCCTTCCGTTTTTCATGTACTTCTTCAATCAGTACTTCTAAACATGCTTCTGCTTCTAACGGTGATTGTGAAACCTTTTTGATGTCTATATCATTAATCCTTCTTATATTTTTTAGAGGCACTTCTTCTTCGGCTGACTGTTCCATTGATAAAGATCTATAACATATACAATTAACATATAAACTTAAACATGAAAATAATATGTAAACAGTATTTATTATTCAATGTCTTATTTGTAAACTAACATTACCTTTTCAAAGGTGTACGTTTCATGTTGCAGTGTTGTGTGTTCTGTATGCTCTCTTCCTTAGAACTATTACAACCAGTGTCTTTCTCATCCTTATTCTGTAAATTCATTGATGGGATTGCATCAGGTTTCAAATATTTTCTTTCTAACGGTGATTGTGAAACTTTTTTCATATCTATATCGTTAATTGTTCTTATAATTTTTAGAGGCACTTCTTCGGCTGACTGTTCCATTGATAAGGATCTATAACATATACAATTAACATATAAACTTAAACATGAAAATAATATGTAAACAATATTTATTATTCAATGTCTTATTTGTAAACTAATATATTACCTTTTCAAAGGTATACGTTTCATGTTGCAGTGTTGTGTGTCCTGTATGCTCTCTTCCTTATTACTATTACAACCAGTATCTTTCTCATCCTCATTCTGTAGATTCATTGATGGGATTGCATCAGATTTCAAATATTTTCTTTCTGCAACTACACTTGTCATAAAATCATCTCTTGTGAAGTGTTTTGAACAAAGTCTTGCATTTGGATTTATTTGTTCCATATTTAATACAGATAGCCATAATTTCATTATGTGTTCTTTTCGTGGAACTCTGAAAATGGTAATGAATGTATTGCTTATTATTTTGTATAATTTAATGTTATAATTGTTATAATATATTTATTAATGTTCTAAATGTTTTTTGTGTATAAACCACAACAACAACTATATTCTAACCTCACTTTTTATAATTTATATTAAATACTATTGCACGTTTAGTTTATCATATGTATAATACATAGTTATTTATTTAATTAAAAAATATGCACATTATATATATATATATATATATATAATTATAGCTTTATAATAGAGTATGTTAAAAAAGTATGTTATAACAATGTTTTATACAAGATAAAATATACTTACTTATGCATTTGTACATCCTTTTCATTCTTGTTATAAGTAGTTTTACACAAAAAACATCTCAAAACCATTGTCTTTAAATATATGTGATCAAGTATGGGATTATTTCGATGAAAGCACTTCAACAACGACACAATTCCAGAACGAGTTACCACAAGTTACTGAGGTGCCCGAATGCAACGCTACGTTATTGCGAGAATTCTGGAGAGGGACAAAATCACCAATGAGATGCTAGCAAAAGAGACAAACATAGGGCCTCCTATGTAGTACCTCTCTTTCTACAGCGGGCGCGCGTTTACCCATTGCAACGCTCAGTCCATTCTATATGTCGATGATCGCAACGCAGCCTCTACGAGCATGGAGGGTGATGCTATTGCAGAAGGTTTCAAACTTAGCCTTCCGATGCACGGACTTATTTACAAAAGGGTTATTGCCGATGGAGATAGTAACGTATATCACTCCATCATTAATAATAAACCGTACCAGGAACAGATGATAACGGTGAAAAAAATAGAATGCACCAATCATCTACTGCGTAATCTTTGTAAAAAACTGAAAGCCGTTGCTGAAACGACTCAGCCAAAAAAAATGCGTGGTTTTATTGAAATGCGAAAAGTTGTAGACAATAGCGTTTTAAAAATACGGAGAGAAGTGTTGCGACTAGCTTCTGAACGACAAAAGCAAGACCAACCTCATCATTGTAAGGCTACAGAACTACGGAAAGACATATTAAATATTGCTAGTCACATATTTGGTGAACATAAACGATGTGAGGAACGCGGTCAAAAGTGCGAAATTGACGGAAATAAAAATTACGTACCACGTTTGAAACTGCATGGTCTATATGAAAGAATAGAAAGTGCTCTTATTTATCTCGGTGCTTATTCTGACAGCTTGCTCTTAAATTTAACCAATAATCCTGCAGAATCGTTTAATTCGATAATCTGCAAAGAAATTGGTGAAAAACGCATTCATTTTGGCAAACGAGGTTCGTACAATGCTAGAATTACGGGAGCAGTTCTGCAACATAATACGCAGCAAGTCCTCACGGAAGTTTATAAAGGCATGTCTAAAACTGTTCCTCCTACTGTCAAACAACTTGAAGAGCAACGGCAAAAAAAAATTGCGAGAACCAGAGAATCTCGACAAAAAGATGGCAAACGAAAGAAATTTAAACGAGAATCAGGAACAGATAAATATTATGGCCCACAATCGCAAAAGCCAGATCTCCCATCTGATGTATTTGAACAAAATCGACAAAGGCATATGGAAAACTTGTTCGAGTATGGGAAAAATTGGGAACAAACTGAACGCGATACGAGACAACAAAGTGATTCCGAGCTGTGGTGTTCATTGAGACGTGTCATGTTGACAGCGTCCAATTTTGGAATGGTTTGTCGCATGAGAGCAACAACGTCTTGTGTAACAACAGTGAAGAATATTTTATATTCTTCGCCTGTTGATACCGCCGCCATGGCATATGGTCGCGTTCACGAACCAATAGCAAAAAAAGTTTTAGCCGCAATACTTAACAAAGACATCAAACCTTGCGGCTTATTTATTGATCGCAAATATCCATACCTGGGTGCTTCTCCTGATGGACTCATTGATGACGATGGCTTAGTGGAGATTAAATGTCCTCATTCGGCCGAACATTTAGCAATAGAAGAAGCCATTAAAACATTACCCGCCTTGAAAAACATCTTTGATGCAAAAGACCCAGGTAAATTAAATGAAAAGCATCGGTTCTTTTATCAAATTCAAGGCCAATTAAACATAACGCAACGACAGTATTGCATTTTTGCTATATGGACACCGAAAAGCATAAAAATAGTGCACGTAGATAGAGACAATGCTTTTTGGGACAAGCATATGCTGCTTTGTCTAATACGCTTCTATAACGAATGCATGCTTCCGGAAATCTTGGATAGTCGCCACAACAGGCACATGGCAATAAGGGATTCGAGTTATATTAAAGAAGCACAGAAAGCAAGTAAAAAATTAAGTAGTCGAAAAACTATTGAGCAAAATGCAGTAAAGAGTGAAAATAACATTAATGAAATTAACGAAACGTTAAAATGTGACATTTCGCCGATGAAAACAGCAATTACCACTGCTATGATTGCTCAAGATATGGATCAGGATGATGATTGTACATATATTGGTACAAGCTACAAGCGAGATATAACCGAAGAGGATAAGGCAAGACGAATGATAAATTTAAATGAAGTTATTATACCTATTTCTATTGTGAGACAAAATGTCTTGTCCGGAGACGAACTAACGGACGAATCAATAGATGAATTTTTACGCATTGTGAGACAAAGTACTCCTTTTGAAACGCAAAGTGTACAGTATCAAGGATTGCCTGATTATATTGACGCTAGTAATAGCGATTTAAGCTTACAAATAATTGGAGGAAAAAATCAATACTTTGCAGAAGGAATTCAACACTGGCGATGTATATTTTGTGATGGCACCAAACTGTTCGTATATGACAGTATACCTGGCTGTACATACGACAGATTGGTGCTCAAGGAAAGAGAATATATAAAGCGTCGATATCCAAAAATAAGGCAAAGTGATATTATTTTTGAGAAAGTCGATGCACAACCAGACGGTACAAGTTGCGGAATTTACGCCGCAGCTTTTGCCACAACTGTAGCCTTAGGAGGCAATCCTTGTGATGAAAAATATTCCAAGGACGTAAAGTGCATGAGACAACACTTTATGAAAATTGTAGAGGGAGATGAACTGTTGCCTTTCACAAGATAAAAACATACGATCAAATATTATTTAGAAAGTTACGTACATTGTAATAATATTTAGAAAGATATTTGAATATCGAAAACATCTGGGTAAAAAAGTAAAAATGAAATAAAAATAAATGTCAGAAGCGTCTATTCGGACGGTACTGATTGTAATATAAATTAGATACGTTTATTCTGACGGTACTGACAAAATGTCAGAAGCGTATGTTGTAACGTTACTGATTTTTACAAATGTATCATTTGTAAATAAAATTCGGAAAGACGAAAAAAAGATATTGGTTGCGTTCTCACGGAAATGGGCGTTGGAGGGGCCCATAATACAAAAATAAAATAAAAGTAAATGTCAGAAGCGTCTATTCGGACGGTACTGATTATAATAAAAATCAGATTCGTTTATTCTGACGGTACTGACAAAATTAATGCCAGAAGCGTCTGTTGTGACGTTATTGATTTTTACAAATGTATCATTTGTAAATAAAAATCGGAGAGACAAAAAAAAGATATTGGTTGCGTTCTCACGGAAATGGGCGTTGGAGGGGCCCATTTTATATTCTTAATATTTAAAATCACAATTTATAAATATACATAGATATGTATTTGTAAGAAATAAGTTTGTACATATATATATATATATATATGTATGTATATGTAAAACATATAATTATTGTGTAGCACGTAATGCAATAATTAAATTATTTATTTCAAACAAATAATTTGTAAAATAAGTAATTTATCTCAGATTATTGTTTATTATTGAAAAAATTCGTGATTATTTTCTATTAATTATTAATTTTGAAATAAGTAGTAATTTATTTTTTACAAAATACTTATTATTTTTACAATAAAAAATTTATTTCTACTTTTTAATAAAAATTAATTTATTTCTTTCACGTAACTAATCATTTTTCTTTTTTTTTTTGAAAAGACGAAAGAGAGGAAAGGGAAAGAGCCGAGAAGAAGAAAAGAAGCCTCATATGGAGAAGAGCAACAGGAAAGGCAGAAAGAAAAATCAGTGATCCTAACGAATAGGAAGCTCTGGATAGATGGGAAGAAGGTGAAATGGGATGAGGAGAGAGGTACATGAAGGAGGATCTGAAAGCTTTTTACGAGGAAAAGATATTATTAAATATAAATATTATAAATGTTATTGAATTGTTGTAACTACTTTCTACAAATCCATATATTTTATTTTTGCATCGTATTATTGATTTTATTGTTAATAATAAAAATATTATCAATGTATGTATATCCATATAAATATATATATACATATGTATATAAGCAATTCTTAATATTTTGTATGCACAACAATAAATAAATTAAATAAGAAATAGCTTGATCGAAATATGTTGATATTTATTGTAATATAATTACTTATTTCTGAAAATAAATATTATTTCTATGAGAGTCGTAAATATTATTTTTATTTCTCAAGATATTGTTTGTACGTGTGGTGTATGTGTGTGTGTG